ACTTGAGGCAAGGAGAGGGGAAAAAAAGGGCAGGAGAAAGAGAGAAAAGTAGAAGTCGTAAGTGGGGCATGACTATGTCGAAATTTTGCTCTCTGCGCATGCGCGAGATTTTCAGGCTGCCATTTTGCATTTGGATCGAAAGGCTGTCGAGTGCATGAGCTGTCAAGCGGTTTTTGGTAAGTTTGAGCTTTTAAAACCACAACAGTGACCCGAAATCTGCTCGACTAGCTTCAAAACACAGTTTTCCACAAAAGCTGCGGCCATTAATGGGTTAAGAAGATGATTCCAATAGAAGTGAAGTCTGGTTCAAGTAGAACCACCACTACAGAATGGTTTCTTCTTCATCTCCTTAAGAATAAATCTTCCTTTGTTACATTCTTCCCCCTCCTTCTCTACATCACTGAAGTAGTTGTCAGTTTGCCAGTAAGCAATGCATGGCCAGAGAGGGGTGCCAGTGCAGTAAAGAACGTTAAGACTCGTCTAAGAAGCAGGCTCCAAAATGACATCTGCAAGCAATACTAGCTGTGGGAATAAATGGACCCGATGTCCAGAGCTGCTTGCCTGTTGTAAAGAAAGCTATAAGAGTCTGGCATAAGGCAAAGGAGAGTAGAAAACTTCCAAAGGTACCAAAGTCAGATAATCCTACTTCAGAACCGTCTGTGGTGATTGTCCAGTGTGAAACAAAGGAAATGGGAGTGCAATGTGAAAGGGAGGAGACAATTACTGTTCAGAGTGGTACAGCTGCAGAAGATAGAGAGTATGAGGAAAATGTAAATGAGGAAGACCTTGATGAAGTTCTAGAGGTCCTTAATCTGTAATCAAAAGGTTCAGAGAGTGACACTGACTCGGATTCCGCTTTTGGATCTGACACTGATGACTTGGCAGCTTAGTTCTTTCTAGCATGGCCAAATGCTGAGTCAAGCTAACTCTGGGTTAATAACTGTTTCAACCACTTTTTGATAGAATGAAACTAATTCAAATCGATACACACAAACAGTGACAAAAGGAGTTTCTATTTATATATTTTCTGCCTTGAATGGCCTTGACGTTCTATAAAACCTTTACTTTAATGGACTGCTGCCCTTTTTGGGGTGTAGTCTGGTTCCATTATTAGGATTCCAAGAAAAGAAAGATGTTCAGTAAAATTTATGGTTGTCTCTAATAAAAAATTATTTCTTAAAACCAAATTTGCTTGCCAAAAGGCTAACCTTCTATATTTTGAAGTTTTTCAGAGGGGGGGTGGGAGGGGGCATGCTGCCAYACCCCCTTGGAGGCTCATGGCTGTGGTGCTCGCTTCTTCTGCCGCCTATTTTTATATTTCAGCCGTCTACATCAAAACTTATTGAGAACCCTGTACATGGTTAAAATTTTTTCCTGAAATGAGGAATTTGCCAACTGTTCTCATACAGACAACCTAAAAGCACAAACATGACTTCTCACTTTATTGTCATCAGTAATAAGTTTCATTTTTGGTTTAAAACACTGAGCTGAAAAGCAATCGAATTACATACCACATTTAATCAATATGTGAAAAGCATCTAAGACATGATTTGTGCACAGTCTAGTTACAGATGTATCAACTGAAAACTGTCCTAGAGGTGTTCAACTCATGCCTCAACTGATAACACACCAATATGAGCAACTTCTTTAGAGTTTTTTTAATTCGCAATCTGGAGATAAGATAGCAACGAATTTATAGCATTACTTCATTTCCCATTAATAATCTATCTAAGCAATCACTTACATGGCAAAACATCCCTGTACCGATTAAGTTGTCTGTTTTCAGGTAGTCTTGCAATTGTTAGTGCTCCAGCTTTCTGGCTCGCTTCCCAATTGAGTTTCTATCGATACAGTATGAAATGACACGAGTTTTAAAACAAACCAGAGCATTGGCAAGTATTTTAAACAAAAACATTTCCCGACAGGCCATCTTCTAACTTAGTTGACTTCAGATGACTAAACTACCTTAAAGCTGAAAAAAAGAACATTAAGCTCAAAGTTATATTAGCTTGAGGTTACAACCATAACTAAACTTAACTTACCTGAAATAATCGTGGCCAGGCTCTAGACTTATCCAACTGTTCTAGTTCAGCCAACATATCGATGAAATTGTCAGAAAGTGGAGTTAAATCCTTCTGTCATGTCTAGTTCGTTTACAATTAAAGAGGCGCAGAGGACAAACACGACCCGGTCAATCTTTTAGAGACCTTTAGCAATATTCAGGAATTTTAGGCAGTCAGCGGTTATGCAGAGAAAATCATTTAGTCTGCGTATGAGTCAAACGAAGTGTGTCCACGTACTCAGAAGATCATGCGAAACAAACTTGACAAAAAAAAAACAAAAAAAATCCCTTTTTGTGAGTTCAGGAAAAATCTCTTAGTATCGTTTCGAATTCTCAAACATACGAAATTATTGAAAATTATTGAAATCTTAGGTTTTTAGGGAGCCAAACGGTACAAATACTTGACAGTGCATCAGAGCGTGACTGTGCATCAGAGCGTCGCGTGGTATTATCAAGTTTCCAGATCACGTTTCGCGCGCTAACGCTAGACCAGGAGCCCATCACTTGATAGGCTCCTGGTTAGACCTAGAACAGTTAAATATGATAATGATGTTTCAGCAATGATCCATGATTACTTCAATTTACACAATTATTCATATTCCAAGCCTGGGGTCAATTCAATAAAACTTTTACACTTGTAACTTTTACAAGTGTAATTTAGACATGTAAAGTCCGACTTGAGAAAACATCAATTCAATAAAAGATGTTACTGGCACAGCTTGTGAGAGATATGAAATCTGTCCTGCTGCGACGGTTTTCTTCGACGGTAACCAAAAAGAAAAAGCAAGAGACGTAGGAGAGCATTCGTGTTCAAATGAATGGCGTGGGTGCGGGAATAGAGAGTGCTGTAGGTTTGCGAGATGTTCTGTGGGCAAACATTCAGCGGGCGACTATACGGAAGGTCAGTCAGCTAAAGAAGACGGGAAGTGGAGGTAGTGGCCAGCTTGCTAAGTTGGGCGAAACTGGTCTGGACATAGTTGGGCATGAGAGTGCCAATTTAGAGCCTGCTCAGGCCCCAGACACAGACATCGTCATTGCAGAAATCGCACAAGAATGCCTCACATGCACTACAAATTACTGTCTAATGATTTTCTGGGCAGTGTCTGTTATAAATGCAGAAGGGCCAAGTACTAGTGGGGCCACTCCAACTGAAGAAATTCAAGGGATGCCGGAGTTGGATGAGACGATAGCAGTAATAACTGAGCCTAGTAAAGAGGACTTCACTAGGCTCCTCTTCAATGGGGCACAGCCTAGGCCATTTACGAATGTTTCCTCATCCCAAATTAAAAGTGAACAACAAGCATAGGAGGCTCAAAGGGGATAAGAGCTGCCTCGTGGGGAGAAGCGGCTGTAGAAGAGCTTATGCGATTGAAAAAAGGAAACTACGACCAGAGTGCACAAAACTAGGTCTGGAAATAGAAAAACTAAGGAAAGATTTACTTGCACGAGAAAACGATAAGGCAAAAGTTATCATATTGCAACTCATTAATGTGTTAACAAATACCCTGCAAGCGAATAATTGAACCGTTAAGGTGACCCAAATAAAATCGTGGATTTGTAATGTCAAACAGCCTGTCTTTCCTGAAAATTTCGAGGCTGACCAAAGATTTATTGTTGTTTAAGTTCTTCCAGTTCTTCATCGCTGCAAGAGAGCATGATTTTAGTCAATACTGATGATGATGATGAACTTTATTCATGTGCCAATTATAAAATAGCAGTAATAAAACCACTAAGTAAGGACACAACAAGATAATTTAAATAAAATAATAAATAACTAAGTATTAATATACGATTAAATATCAGAAAATATACGAATAAATAGCATAAAATTTGTGGTCAGCAGAATTAGGCTAGGGGACCTTAAGACGTGGGGGGGAGGGGGGAGAGGAACAGTCTGAGCCTAACTAAGATATAACTAAGAATCATGCACTGCAAACCAAGCAGCCCACACAGCCACCATCGTCCTTTAACATTTCCAAATCCATTCCTCTAACTGCCCTCTTAAAACCCGCTAGTGAATTCAACGTCCTAATACGGGAAGGTAGCTTAGCCCATAGCACAGGTCCTAAATACCTAAGGGAATGCCTGCCATAATTAATAGAGTTAAATCTTGGAATAGTAAATTCTTTAACTCTTAAGTTATACACTGTGTGATTTGCTGAAAATAAATCTTGTATATAGCTTGGTGCTAGCTTAAATTTTACTTTATACATGATGGTCGCTATATCTTGCAATCTACGGTTCACTAGGGTGGGCAATTTAGCCCATTCTAACAACTGCCTATAGTTAGCGTTCCAGTCACGGAAAACTGCCCTAAGACCCCTCTCCTGGACATGCTCCA